ACGTAAATGAAAAGATAGTTGCTCTGAGCAAGCCAAAGCCCCTGAGATGGAAATGCAATTCTCTCTATTTCACCCGAGGTAGGGAGAGACTGGTATTTTGGCTCCTCTGGGCGTTTTTGCCTAAAACTTGCCTGTTCACCAAGTCACTGCTCCCCCGCGGGTCGGGGACGGAGCTGTGTGAGGAATACAAAGCAGGGAGACACAATCTCCGGGGCTTCGAGGGAAGGGCCAGAGCTGGCGATCCCTACACTGGAGTGCAGGGCTGCCCCAGATCGACAATTAAATACAACCTTCTCTTTGTGTCTATAAAAACGAAAACGAAAACTGTTCTGCCCCACAGACTGCTCCGAACTCAACCCAAAGAGAAGGGGGCGGGCCGGCCCGCAGGTGGCAGACGGCCTCCACCCCGCGCCTTTGTTGACAGCCGCCGCCCCCCACCCTCTCCGGCCCGGCATCGAGAACGGGACCAGGCGACCGGAACCTCTGGGTCCGGGCCGCACCGGCGCCCGAGGACCACACCGGGCTCCCGGCCGGTGGGCCGGGCAGGCTCGCTGGACTGGTCGGGCCATGCCGGCCCGGGCGCGGAAGGCGGCGGTGGGCGCGCGCCGGGGCGAGCGCGTCGCGGCCTCACCTTGGACACCATCTTCTTGAGCTGGCTCTCCGACACGGCCATGGCGGCCACCGCGCAGCTCCGTCCCCGCAGGCAGAGGGTCAGCCGCGCCGGGGCCGCCCAGCCCGCCCCACAGCACTGAGCACCAAGCAGCCAGCCCCCCGCCGCCCCGCCCCTAACTACAGGAAGTCGGCCGCCATGACATTCTTTCCGCTTCCGTTACGTCACTTCCGAGGTCAGCGCTGAAGCTGGGTGGTTCCCGCCCACCCGCTGCTCAGGTGCGGCTGGTAGCGCCCGTGTTGTGCGGCCGCTGGTGCCGAGGGTCGCGACCCGGGGCTGGGGAGATCTGCAGGTGTTTGCAGTTGCCCTCAGACTTGGGGAGCGGGTGCAGGGAGGACAAGCACTGAAGGTCTTGCCAACGAGCTTTAATGGCTGATTCATCGAAAGGGAGGGCACTGGACTGGGCGCCAGACAACTGCCACTGACTTGCCCTTGCGATAATAGCAATGCACTTCCGGCTTGGGCCGAGGTTTTTCACCGTCCAACACGGGCGGCTTGCATTACATGATGCCCCGTGTCTCAGGGTGTGTGTTTGTCTGAAGCTTATAAGTTCTTAATACTGCATTCCCAAGGGCCACGTGCAGATTCCTCCTTCACAGGAAGCCTGGCAGTAATTTCTTCAGGAAACCATTCCCCTGGGTCAGAACTTCTGTGCCCAGACCTCAATGCTAACACCGGCTGCATTATTTTACTTTGCACTACATTTGTATCCTAACCTGTCCACTGTCAAAGGCCAAGTCTTTGAGGGCAGGCTCGTCTTCAGATGCTCATTGCCTTGTACAGCACAAGAGTACTTGATCTTGATTGAATTTCTACTTCGGATAAAAGTTGTTCAGAGTCATATTAGTCACTGAACATTGCCAGTTTTATAAGTATAATGTTATTCAAGGTATTGTAAACTGTAGTATGGTGATTTGGATGATTCAGCCTAATGCTAACAAGGAACAGGTTGTGGTATTAATTCCCTTCCAAGTTGGCACTTAAGTGAAGGCCACATACACAAAGGGTATAATCAAAACCACGTGAAAGCATCATTATAAATTGTTGCATGCAAACACAAAAACTATATTGCTTCTAAAACTATGGACACCATACGTTAGTAAAGCAACAGTTCGTCAAAGGAAACTATAAGGCAGTCTATCTTGCCACTGCACCTCTTTTAAGTCACTTAAAAGCCATCTGGTTTTCAAACAGCTTAGGAGTACCTTCACTTAGGCAGGGGTAGAGAATGTCTGGCGCACCTGTGTGCTGTACAACGCTTGAGAAATCATTTGGTCTGGCCCTGCCAAGGAATTAGGGGTGAGTAAATTAAATGTCTGACCAAATATAGTAGGCAAATTTTTAAGTTGATAATTCTGCATGACCTCGAAAGATGTTATAAATATCCAAATGGCTCTTGGCAGAAAAAAGTTTCCCCACACCTAATTTAGAGCAACTATGTTTTTATTAATTAGGGGAGCGCAATTAATAAAGTTTTCTTGCTAAAAATATTTTTTTAAAGTTTGCAAACAATTAACAAAATCTAGTCTCTTCATTTTGCACTTAAGCCACTTAAAATGAAATAACTAAATATCTTGGGGACTATAGAATTATATGAAAGGATCTTTCTCTTCAATCTGAATAAATTTCCTTCCACTCAATAAATTAAACATCTAATTTTAAAGTCAAAGTTTATTTTTTTCATAATTTTCGACATGTAAGGAAAATCGCAATGTAAAACTGGAAAAATAAAATATTTATTTCTGCTACAATATCAAAGAATCATTTTAATCCAAGCATCACTAAAACTTAGAACAAGAGACATTGCATGATTTTGGAAAAATAAAAAAGTGAAAATAGCAGCATCACAAATGTCAAATTATTACCAAATCATAGTGAGATGGTGGTGGTACTGCTTCTTGACTTGTATATGGAATTTACAACATAACTGATAATATTCAACATTCAAGGAACTGTCTGATAGAATTACTTCTATGCTGTGGGCTTCTGTAGAGCAAAGGCTGTTTCTCATCTTTGAATATTCAGATTCTAACATAGTACTTGGAATAATAATAGGTGCTCAATAAATATCTGTTGTGTTGTCATGTTTCTATAATTAATGTAGCAAATTCTTGGCAATTCATCTATAATACAGTATCTTGTGGTTAGGTTTATGTTTTAGAGCACAGTAGACAGTAAAATTATCTAATTTCTCATTAGGTATCTGATATTAGAAAAGGCTAGTTGTATTTCTAAAAAATGTAAGAATCGTTCTTTTAGTTTTACGTTCCTATCTCATACAAATGGACAATGAGGATACATTGTTAGAGTAACACCAAAATAATCTACCCATCTAGTGAACTTACACCAGAACTAATGCTCATCTCTTTCAAATGTCCAAGGTTTTTATACTAGTTAATTCTGGTGGGAATCTTTCCAAGCATATTACTTTCCTACTTTTTAAACACAGGATATAATATAAACAATTATATACTGAATATACTCTTATCTTTTCTTAATGATTTAAGCTCATCATTATAAACTTTATTGTACTAAATCAGCATTAGATGGATGGTTTCCTCTCTATCTAGAATGTATCTGTCCTTTAAACCATTGGGCTCCTATCTCTCTGACCATTTATTTATGATATGCTTTCAAAGCACCTGGACTTCTTCACAGAACTTATTACATTTTCAACTGTATATTTATTTGTGACATCTGATCACTGTGTATGCCATACTAGATTATAAGGACCTTAAGGGCTTGTACCTAACCCAGGTTTGCTCACCACTGTACCTGCAGTGCCTGAAAATGCAGTGCTGCGGTACAGCGGGCTCCCAGTCAACACTACCTGAATGACCAAATAAATAAGCACCTACCGCAGTGCATACCCCTCTCTGCCATTTGCTGAGGGCAAATCTGGGAAGTCAGGGAATCAATCTTTCTAAAAACTACGTTGGGGGGGGAAGTCAGCTCCTACATGGGAATGGAAGGTACAGACCCTCAGCTTTAGGGGCCTGTGGTGACTATTTTGGCTATTAGGCCTTTTCCCTCTACTAGCAATTAGAAAAAGTAGAGGTGGTATGGATAAGTGCCCTTTACCCGTGAGATCTTGGTCACTAAAGCTCAGTTTCCTCCTCTATAAAATGAGGATGATAATCCCCACCTCAATGGTTTACAGTGAGGATTCAACAAAATAAAGTGCTCATCACACTGCCTCAAACATCAAGTGTTGATGTTGGTTGTTACTATTAGTTGTATGCCACCTCAGTAATGATATGCAATCTTTCACATATGAAGATATTGTTATTGAACCATCACCAAAGCATATGTACTCTGATTGTTTCTTTAGGAATTGTTAAAGGATCTGCTCAGAATAATCAGTTCATCCAACCTCTCCCCCTTTAAAACCAATGGCTTTTATGACAACCTATTTTAGCTTAAAAGTAAACTGCTTGGCTTTCATTCACAATCTATTTTCACTGAAAATACACATTTCTCTCTGATTCTACTAATATTACTGTGAATTTATGAGGTGTTAGAACTCTGATAGCCCAGAAAGAGGTTATAGAAAGTTTCAAAAAGGACAGTTCCACTGGAAGGTAAACTATACTTTTTCTTCATATATTAAAAAAATTCGCCGAAACCGGTTTGGCTCAATGGATAGAGCGTCGGCCTGCGGACTGAGAGGTCCCAGGTTCGATTCCGGCCAAGGGCATGTACCTGGGTAGCGGGCACATCCCCAGTAGGAGATGTGCAGGAGGCAGCTGATCGATGTTTCTCTCTCATCGATGTTTCTAACTATCTCTCTCCCTTCCTCTCTATAAAAAAATCAATAAAATATATATTTTAAAAAAAATTCACTTTCCCTTTTACTATTTTAAAGTACATGTAAAATTCTTTTCCATTGTTTGGTAGCTAATTAATTGAAGAAGGAAAACAAAATGCTTTATTACCATTACTACCAACTTTATTTTTATACCTTAAATTGTGGATCCTTTGACTATATACCTAGCACAGATTTGGCAAATCCATACTGACCCTTTGACTTAGCATGTTTACTGTAGCAGTTGAAGAGTACTTTTCTTCTAAAAATATATTACTTTCAAAATATTCCCAAAGTGCTGAATGTGCTTTCAGTTGAGGATACATAATTTTACATGATGCATTTTGCAGATAAAGTTCATCTCTGCTATAGGTTTAAAGAATATCTATATATAAAAGGCTAATATGCAAAGTGTCTCCTCGGGAGTTCGACTGGGAGTTCGATCGCTTGCTATGACATGCGCTGACCACCAAGGGGCAGTGCGGAACATGGCAGGCGACCAGTGGCAGTGGCGGGGCATTGAGGGAGTGAGGGAAGGAGGAGGCGGGGAGACGGGGAGGCAGGGACCCTGATTGGCTCTGATTGCTGGCCAGGCCTAGGGACCCTACCCGTGCATGAATTTCATGCACCAGGCCTCTAGTAGTTATATAAAGAACGACAAAGAAAATCGGATTTTCCCCCTCCTTATCTAACTCCCTAAGAATTCAAATTACAAAACCAACCAAAAAACCATCTACCTTAACCAAGTAGTTTGTAAGGATAAGTAATAAGATACAGAAGTCTGCCGAAACTGGTTTGGCTCAGTGGATAGAGCGTCAGCCTGTGGACTGAAAGGTCCCAGGTTCGATTCCGGTCAAGGGCATGTACCTGGGTTGCAGGCATATCCCCAGTGGGAGGTGTGCAGGAGGCAGCTGATCGATGTTTCTAACTCTCTGTCTCTCTCCCTTCCTCTCTGTGAAAAATCAATAAAATATATTTAAAAAAAAAAAAGATACAGAAGTTCTCAACCCTTTATATGTTGGCAAAATTAAATGACGCTTCCCTCCAGGTAGCTGTGAACTTTGGACTTAAAGTTTTAACTGTTGCTGGAGATCATGAAGTGAGGAGGCGCTGCTCTGGAGCTTCTCAGTCACTCCGTCTTCTTGCACTGTGCTTTTGATGACTTCAGATACCCCACTGGTTCCAAGGATGCAAGGCAAACTTAAAAACACTTCACTATTTATATCATAATATCCCTGAAATGAATAAAATTAGATTATAATAGAGCTAAAGCTCTACAAACAAGTTAATATCATAAAAAATGGTTACTTTCTTGCTTTTATAGCCGTAGTACAAAGTTGAACTTTAAGAAAAAAAAAAATGTTCATTTATTTTCTAAATTCAAGTTATTGTTTCAGATATTTTTTGTGAGATGGGAGGAACTTGGTCAAAGATATCCCCTTTATGGGAAGAGAAGCTAGCCCCCTGCAATATGAGTAGCAAGTTGGGGGCAAAGAAAAAAGACTGTTAGAATAGATTCCCAGGGGAGGGGCACAGAATGGGCTCTGGGTACAGTCCAATGTAATAACCTGTTTTAAGTTCTCCTTTCCATGTTTTATTTCTCCTGGAATTCCTAAGTTTTCAAGAAAATTTGGTTAAGCATTTGTGCCTGTCTTAGTGGTGCTTGAGATGAAGTGGTAAAGGACAACTGAGCCGGAGAGTGCAAACTGATGAACAGCTAAGACTGGTGACACATCAGTCTGGGGTGACCTGGATGGCTAAGGTGATAAAGGACAACCAGAAGGAGTTTATGGAATACATAAATGCTTCGTAGGAATTCCCCAAAATTACATGGGGGTGAAGAGAAACATAGAAGTGCAGAATTTCCATAGCCAAGCAAGAGAGGGATCAGACCAAACTGTTTCCCGCCCATGTATTACTCTAATATCGAAGATACCTCATTACAATATGAATAGCATCTTTTCAGGTTTTAAGCTAATAATATAAAAGTTTAACCATATGATGAGAGAATGAGAATAGCAATTACCTTTGCTAAAGTTGATACAGAATGCACTTTCTTTCTATCATTTATAAGACTGTCAACTAGGTCAGCTACTGATAGTCCAACAGACCAGGATCTTTGACCTTTGACCTTTAATAGTTCCATGGCTCTAGGTTATGAAAAAAAAATCAATTCAGAAAATGAATAAAATATGTATTTAGTCTTTCAATTTAAAGTATTAGTTACATATTTTTATAACACAGAAATATGAGTTACACACTAATTGTTAGGAAAATCCACAGATAAACTAATGATTAAGGTTTTCTTAAAATGTTGGATAAGCAGTTCACAGGACAATAAAAATGACTTAACATAAAAAGATGCTCTACCACTACTACTATTTAACTAAATGTGAGTTGAAACAATACATCAGTTTTGCCTATCAAAATTGGCAAATATTAAAAAAATTGGTAACTACTTTTAGAGAAGCTACAGAGAAAAAGGCATTCCCATAACTGCCGGTGAGAGTATAAGGTGACACAATTTTTTAGGAGAAAGATTTGGCAACGTTTGATCTAGAAATTCCTCTTCTAGGAATTTGTCCTACAGCAATATGCTCAAATGTGCAAAGACATACATATAATTATGTTTGCCTTGTCTGAGACAGAAAAAATTTGGAAACAATCAAAAGTGAATTAAATAAATCTCTATCTAATATAGTGCCATGTAGCTCTAGAGAAGAATAAAGTAGATTTATATGGGCAATATGGAAAATGTCCAAGATTTATTATTAAGAAAACAAAGCACCCTAACCGGTTTGGCTCAGTGGATAAAGCATCAGCCTGCAGACTCAAGGGTCCCAGGTTTGATTCTGGTCAAGGACATGTACCTTGGTTGCGGGCACAACCCCAGTGGGGAGTGTGCAGGAGGCAACTGATCGATGTTTCTCTCTCATCGATGTTTCTAACTCTCTATCCCTCTCCTTTCCTCTCTGTAAAAAATCAATAAAATATATTTAAAAAAAGAAAGAAAAGAAAACAAAGCAAGATAATATGAATAACATAAATCTGTTATAATAAAAAATAATAAAAATGATGTTTGCAGAAGCATTGAAAGAAATGTTTGAACATATGGGCACTAAACTGCTAACAGTGGTTCTTAGAGAATGGAATTACCCCAGCTTTTCACTTCCTGCTTTATAGACATCGACAGCATTTACAGTTTTATAATAGTACACATTGTTTTGGTAACTAATAAAACATGATATAAAATTTAAAAACATGTTTGAATTTCTTCCTTTTAAAAGCTATAAATGCAGGTTTACATAAAGAATCAGGTTAGAATGGATTGTGCAACATACTCCCCTTATCAATAAGAGAATATTCTTTCCAGTTCAGAACTATATGCTGAAGTTTTAAAAAGCTAAAAATCTCCACCACTCAGACTGTAGGAAAGTATGTCATTATATGATGGTGAAACAACAAATGGTGTGAAAATATATGTAGAGTCCAACCTATAAGCTCTTCACCCCCAGAAGGCCTCTGAATAAAGCAAAAGATACAAGGATCTGTGCATTATACTTTGTTTTTGCCTGCACTTATAATATGGCTTATCCATTCGTGTTAGACTAATTTCTAAATGTATTTATGTGTGATTCATAAGTACATTTCAAATTTTAAGTGGTATGAGTAGTTTTCTTCTACATTAAAAAAAATTGTCAAGCCCTAACCAATTGGGCTCGATGGATAGAGCGTCGGCCTGCGGACTGAAGGGTCCCAGGTTCAATTCCGGTCAAGGGCATGTACCTTGGTTGTGGGCACATCCCCAGTCGGGGATGTGCAGGAGGCAGCTGATCGATGTTTCTCTCTCATCGATGTTTCTGGCTCTCTATCCCTCTCCCTTCCTCTCTGAAAAAAATCAATACAATATATTTTAAAAAAAGAGAAAATTGTCAATATCCTCAGATGTTTAGATATGGAAGCAGTAAATCACTGTCTATAAATCAGGAACCTGTTCAACATTTAAAGAAATGTCAAGTGTGTATCTGAAGTAAAGTTTGCAAAGCACTCTGATCCATTTTCAGATAAGAAACAATAGAGCCGAAACCGGTTTGGCTCAGTGGATAGAGCGTCGGCCTGCGGACTGAAGGGTCCCGGGTTCGATTCCGGTCAAGGGCATGTACCTGGGTTGCGGGCACATCCCCAGTGGGGGGTGTGCAGGAGGCAGCTGATCGATGTTTCTCTCTCATCGATGTTTCTAGCTCTCTATCTCTCTCCCTTACTCTCTATAAAAAAATCAATAAAATATATTAAAAAAACAGAAACAATAGAAATCATTGCTCCCTTGTATTTTTGGATTTGTCCATACTAGCTAGTTTTGTCTGCAGGAGCCTGGTAAGTAAATGTTAGTTAGAGAAATGTAAATTTACACTCAGTGTTACCTGCTGGACAGCTGCACCTGAGAGTTATGACTCATGACTTCTTCTTGGCCACCCCATTTGGTAACTAAAAAGTAAAAAATCAATATATTTTGTTAATAACTCTTTTAGGATTAAGATGTGATAAATGATTGTTTGCCATCAAGGGTACCCACCTTCTAGCAATAGTTACATTTTCCACTAATGACACTAAATGTGCTGTAGTGACAGCTGGGGTAAGACTTTGAGCTGCAATCCCCAAAACACAAGATCCCCAAAGTCTACTTGAAGCCTCCTTACCTGTTCTCTCTCATCAACAATAGTTCTACCTGGGCCATTTTACTGTCCAAATAGAAAGCCTTCCTTCCTCAGCAGGCTGCGAATAACAGGCTCTCAAGTATTACAAACACTTGGTATTTGTTCTGCTGGGACCCACACAGACTAATTTCTTTCACTAGGTGAGGAATAATTTCACCATCTATTCTAGGCTAGATTTCAAACTTCCTAATGTAAATCCATGCTAGTTTAGGGAGCTCTTTTAAATACTGTGTCTAGTATCAATCCTAATCTTTTTGGTTCCATTTTTCAAGAACAGTAATCCTCCGGAGCCCAAAATTTGAATGAAAAATGACCATGGGACAGCACTTTTCCTTTACATATAACACCTTCCCCTTCGGAAAGATGGATGTGTACGTAAAGCAGATGATCTAACACTCTGTCCTGAGGTAAAGCCTTGGATTTCTAGAACACCATTCGAAGAGGCTACCTGCAGTTTACATATGATTTCAATATCACAGCTGAAAATAGCTGCTCCAAAGTACATGTTTTGCTGACTATCTAATTTGGTATGGCATAATATGAATGACCTTTGATCACAAGATGGTGTCAGGATCATTCCTTCATCTCAAAACACATTTACTGAGACCATTCCAAGGAACCTACAGTCTTGTGGGGTAAGACTGGTAAGTATGCAGTTATAACATAGTGTGATAGTGTTTATAATAGAGGCATAAACTTACTTAACCTGGATAATTAGGAAAGGCTTCCTGGGAGAGGTGGCACTCAAGCCCAGTCTTGAAGGGTAAGCAGAAAGTAGCCAGTGAATGAATATTCAGGGAAAGGAAGCATCAGGTGCAAAGGCAGGGAGACATGAGAGTGCATGAACCATTCAGGAAATTGCAAGTTGACCATCTGACTAGCATAGAATGCCTGGCTTAATGGCAGAAGATGAAGCTGGGGAAGGAAGCAGGAAACAGATCCTAAAGCATTTTGTACGTTATATGATTTCTCCCTAGGCTGTAATTGCCACTTGTCTCTGAAATAGTTGGAGAATAATTTTACTTACACACTTACTATTATTATGTTTCCAAATCCTAATGTTGCTTTACTGCAAAACATAGTTCTACATGTTTTTACCAATTTTTTATTCATAACCATCTTGCTGATTACTGTAATAACAACTACTATTTACTGAGTGTTTACTTGATGCCAGACACTGTACTAAATGCTTTCAGTAAATTATCTAATTAAGTCACAGCAAGGAAAAGCACAGCTTTGGAGTCGACCAGGGTTCAAACCTCAGTTTTGCCATTACTACATGTGTAACCACAAACAGATTAGTCAACCTGAGTTTTAAGCTTTCTGATATATTAATTTGGAAAACCACCATCTCCTTCTTAAGTTGAGATATGCAAACCATTTAATACACATAGTATCCACTCAATCTATATATATAAAAGCCTACGTAACCAAATGACCAGTCACTATGATGCGCACTGACCACCAGGAGGCAGATGCTCAACGCACAGGATTGGGCTCCCTCCTGTCTGGATCGGGCCTGTGGTGATGGGGCCAAAACCGGCTATCTGACATCCCTTGAGTGGTCCCAGATTGTGAGAGGATGCAGGCCAGGTGAGGGCCTCTAGTATAATTATAAATGCTATTACTGTGGTAGTATCACTTATACAAAAATATAACCAGTTGATATCTATAAAACCAGCAGAGGGAGCCTCTAATCCATTTCTGGCTTCAGGGCCAAGCTAAGTATACCAATCCATTGCTATCACTATCTCTGAAAACAAATAGAAAACAGGATAAAAAGTGATCTGATAGTGGTATCTAAATGAAAGGTAGGGTTGGGGAGTACATAGGTAGTTTCAGTGGTATCGGTACTGTTCTTAATAATTGAGTGTGGATTCGTTGAGTGTGGATACATATATATATAAGTAGTCATTTGCAAGTTAGGAATGTTTATTCTATTATGCTCTAAAACAGCGGTTCTCAACCTGTGGGTCACGAACAATGAAAATACATCCAGCATATCAGATATTTACATTACGATTCATAACAGTAGCAAAATTACAGTTATGAAGTAGCAACGAAAATAATTTTATGGTTGGGGGTTACCACAACATGAGGAACTGTATTAAAGGGTCGCGGCATTAGGAAGGTTGAGAACCACTGCTCTAAAACATATATATACATTACATTATATACTTTTGTATGTGTCAAATATTACATATTATACTTAAGTAATCTCAATTCTCATGTACCTACATCCCTCTATTTCTAGTTCCCATTTGAGAGCTGAAGACAAATTTACCATAATATTCCTTATGTTTTTATCCTACTTCCCTTAGGCCTTTCTCACAGGAAGTCAATACTGCCTTCTAGTACAGTCATTTCCTATATTATATGCTAAGCTTCCTAAAAACAGGGTCAGGTTCTTATACATCTATATAGCTCTAACAGGAGTTAGCATAGTGTCTTAGGTTTACTTATTGTCACACCATCCTTTATTTTCTCTTTACAATTTGTGATATTAATGCAACTATATTTATGAAATGTTCTAATTCATTAAAAAATTATAACCTATTTGGGGGACTGGTTAAATAAATTTTGATATATCCAGTAGTTAAAAAGAATGAAATGCATATATAGTAGTCATTTGCAAGTTATCAATACGTAAAAGGGCAAGGTAGAGAATAATGTATGATATATATTTTATACATCTGCTTCTCTATGCACAGAACATTTCTGTAAGATTACATAAGAAACTGGTAGCTGTGATTGCTTTTAGAGAAAGGGGTTTCGGCATACAAGGGAGACTTATTTTTCACTGTATACCTTTTTGTACTATTTAAATTTTTTTGCGATGTGAATGTATGATTTTTTTCAACTAGAAGAACAGCTTAATAATTTACACTTTTAATAAGGAGAAGGTGCAAACACAAAATTCAAACTGGATCAGAATAAACAGCAGTTTCACAAAAGAATAAGCATCGTGAGACAATATATGGTTATTCACCATATAGCTAACAATAACTTTTAGCTCAAAAGACTGAAAAAAATCACTGTGGAGTGATGTGATCTGGAAAAGCTTCATAGTATAATAAGGGGAGCTTGACCGAAATCTTGAAGGATGAGATTTAAATATGCTGAGAGAGAAGGAGAAGGGATTAGGAGGAAAATGAGATGGGCAAAGATCCCTGTGGCTGAAGCAAAGCTGTAGAGTGGGGCTAGGCAGCACAAGCCCTGGGTTTTAGACCAGGAAAGCTATAGGCTCCTGGGCAGGTCACTCTTACCATCCCTGTATCCATTTCTGGGTTCTTAAAGTGTAACTGATGATCCCTTGGGTTCCTTCCAACTCTTTAATAACATGACTACCTCCATAACTATAACTGCGAAGGAAAATGAGGGCATTCCTTGAATACTGTGGGACTCCTTGAATGCCAACGAAAGGAATTTAATGGTTGATCACAGAAAGCCAGTAAACGTTTTTGGAAGGAGGTATACGATTTAGGAAGACTGCATTATAATGAAAGCATTTGTAAGCACCGTGTAAGTTTTGGCTACTATCATTGTTAATTTGGCAGACTAGAGGAGAAATAGCAAACTGACTGGGAGATTTACAATAGCCAGATAACCAAAAGATCAACCTGGACCAGAATTCAAATGGCGCAGTGAGTAAAATTCAGGTCTTGGGTTTGTCTGAATCCCTAGACATTCATTACTCTAATGCGTCTGGCTCCAAGTTCTCGTTTGCTACCTTTTTCTAGGGTCCTATTGATTAATGTTTAGCATTTTGAACCTGGAAAGTATTTCTGCTTGAATTACACTGTCAGGCTTTGTAAAAGTTTACTCTATAGCACTGAACTCTCTAGGTAGCCAGTGCAGATTTATACATATTTAAAATACTACTGTATTTTATTACAATAATTTTCTTAAAAATTATACAAATACCACATATCCATAACAAAATTAGAAAACACAGGAAAGTACACATTTTTAAAAGTTACTTCTATCCCAGACATAACAGCTGTTAATATTTGGCATCAAAGCATATACGGAGCTTTAAATTTTAAGAAAATACTTTTGAAGAAATATAAAACGTGACTAAGGAGTCTTGCCTAATTGTAAACTTACAGAAAGGTAAATATAAGTAGGATAACACATTTGAGGTATCTATTCACTAGACAGAGATGTTACAGAAAAGGCACCCAAATGTGGAACAAAACCCAACTAAGCTCCACAATTCTTGAGTCCCCAGTTATATCTGAATATCATGGCCACTAGTGATTTAGGTTATCAATATAACTAGTAAAAATGTACTTCTTACCTTTGTCTTCTCCCTGCTCACCAATAACCCACACTGGTTTTCCTGAAGTCTCTGCCTTTAAAACATTTGTAATAATATACTGTAACCTCTGTGAGTCCAGATTGCATCCAATTCCAATTACTCGATTTGCAGGAAATGCACTCAGTTTCCATGTCACATAAGTCATGATCTCCACTAAATATTGCACACAAGGTAAAAATGTAAATATTTTAAAAAACATACTTCTAGCCTAGTTCATAAACAAATATTATTTTAATAAGTATATTAGACCTTGTATATATTCTTCTTAGGTCCTAAATGCACTATAAGGTATATTTCTAACGTATATTTTTAAAAAACCACCCGGTTTCAGCATGATTTAACATAACTTCGCTGCTAAATATAAAGCGGAGAATAATTTCCTAGAATAGTTAAGCAAGAAGGATAAAAACCGGGTACAGAAAACCAGAAGATAATTTTTTTCATTGATCAAGTTATCTTTCTATCTATCTTAAGCTGAGTTTCTATCTTTAAATTAAAATACTGATTCATATACCACCACTATGTGGTATAGGATTATGAACAAAAACACAACTACTTTTTTTCTAATATGCCAAAAGGATGTCAAGAATTAAAGAGACCAGAGTTCCTCAATTACTATAAGAAAAACAAGTGAAATGCATGCCATACTCCTACATGGGGAACATGTAAAAAAATCTGTTCACCAACTTGAGGCCAGTACCACACCTAACTCTTTAAAAATATTTCTTTCTTAAGTAAAACAGTTTCCAATAATTTAAATTCAAAATGTTAAAAATGTACTCTGGCATGCTCACTAACATTGTATGACACTTCAGAATTAAAAAAAGCTCTTTCACATAGCCACTGCATTTTTCTCTTGGGAGATAACCATTTTCTCACTGAAAAGCATGGCTAACAACCTGGAACATAATAATAATAGTATAATATAAAAACGATAATTTGTAACCTTCTAGTTAATGCTAGTCATAAGAAGTCACTGTATGACAGGATATGGAAATACTGTATTGTTCATTATAAGAGCAATTTAATTGACTAGTCATCCTTTTATAATCCAGTTTTATGACTTTTATCAGTAACAGCAATTCTACTGATGCACTGGATCATCAAATTCATTTAAAATAAAACCTATTACCTGGTTGAGATGCAACAAGCAGGACACTGTGTTGACTATAATGTCCCAGAGCTGGGACAAGGGCTCTGAACATATCCACATTTCTCTGCACCACATCAAGGTAGGACTGAGAACTACCCAAAGAGTTAACGGTAAAGATGACCACTTTGGAATGAGCAGAGGCAGACAAATCTAATGAATAAAAAGAAACAGTCTGAGCTCAAGGTATATGTTTTAATCAAGTCTGTGTTCATAAAGAAGGTTTTTCTTCTCTCCAAGTAGAGACCTTTTCTGCACACCTACCTCCAGATCAATCTTATCTCAATAGGAAGTATACAAAGTGCTGAAGTTTGCCACCAGAAAGAGGATTAAGGAGCAACAGTGTATTCCAAGGAGGGAAAGAGAGCAATAAAGATAAACCAAACAAATTACAGGATCCAGAACCCACAAAAAAGGAATTAATTTTTATTTAATCCATCATTTTATTAGGGAAAGTAAATATGTTATAGGCAAAATAAACTTAAAATCAATTACATCACTCATTTTAAAACTTTTAGCTTAGGTGTTCTAAAGTTCCTTAAAAGGAACTCTTGTCTCTCTTGTCTCATTGATGTTTCTAACTCTCTATCCCTCTCCCTTCTTCTCTGTAAAAAATCAATAAAATATATTTTAAAAAAAAAAGTGATTCAGGGGCCATCTGGGAGGACTGGGAATAAGTGAAAATCAGAAGGCTGGTAGGCATGGCTCCAGGCCATTTATTTCAACTTCTCCAAGCAGAGTAGTTCTGCTGTATCTATTTAATTTATTAAGGACGGATTCTACTCCAAAGAGGGGATAAAAATGGTTTGAAAATCTTTACATGAAGATAAAATGTCTCAGCTCATTTTTTACTGACTTTTTCTTTTTAAAAAAAAAAAAAAAATATTTTTATTGATTTTTTACAGAGAGGAAGGGAGAGAGATATAGAGTCAGAAACATCGATAAGAGAGAAACATCGATCAGCTGCCTTCTGCACATCCCCCACTGGGGATGTGCCCGCAACCCAGGTACATGCCCCTGACCGGAATCAAACCCGGGACCCTTCAGTCCGCAGGCCGACGCTCTATCCACTGAGCCAAACCGGCTTCGGCCTGACTTTTTCTTATACTGAATGAAGCCTAGAGTCGTTGGGTTTAGATTCTTCTTTCAATGGACCTTAATGCATAAGCAACTGTTATGACTTAGAAAAAGCTATTCTCTGGAGTTCACTGCTGCCCAACTGGAGTGGCTCAGTTTTGAGCATTGTCCCATGCACCAAAAGGTTGCTGGTTCAATTCCAGTCAGGGCACATACCTGGGTTGTGGGTTTAATCCTCCTCGGTCAGGGCACATATGGGAGGCAGCTGATTGATATTTCTCTCTCCCTCTCCCTCTCCCTCTCTCTCCTTTCCTTCCTTTCTTTCTCTCTCTAAGCATGTTCTCAAATGAGATTTATAAAAAACAACCACTGGTTTTGGAGTTCACTGCTATGATCCTCAAGCATACACATGCTATTTTACAACATAACTTTCTGTTACACAGTGTGTTTTAGAATAAGTACATGTCAAAACAGTGGCCAGACATTAGCAACATCAGATACAACAGAAAAATAATGAAACAACTAAAATGGTATCAGTTTAATCAACCTTTGTAAATGAATACTGGCATCCCAGGGAGACAATGAGTAGATTCCAGGGTTTAGTCTTAATGAAGCCTCTAAGGCCATCTTTCTACACAAGTTTATGTGCAATGTGTCCACTGGGAAATGCACTACCCAATTTTAGTACATAATCTAATGCAACTGTGGGGATGGTAGCTCCAAAAACTGACTCATGGATTTTAATTATGGTTCTTCATAAACTATAATTAATTCCTGTGTTTTAGTGTTCAAAATAGATACCTGGTGGTCAGTCAAAATCTCAAGAATTAGAAGACTGTAGATCTGGAAGGGATATAGTTAACACTTTCCTACCACTTTTGTGTGTCAAGTATTGTTCTAAGAGCTTTCCCTATGTTTACTCATTTAATCTAAGCTACAAGACACTATGGAGTTAATATCATCCCCATTTGACAGATTTGAGGCACAGAGAAGTTAAGTAACTTGTTCAAAGTCATAGAACTTGTAAGTAGCAGAGCCAGAATTTAAGCCCAGGCAGTCTGGCTTCAGAGTACTGTTTAGCACTGTCCTATGTTTACAGATTTAGTCCTATACCCTCATAAAGATGAGGAAATTGATACCTGGAAAGATTAGATGGCTTGTCAATATTATTAAATATCAGTGAATAGTTCAACTTACGATCCTATAATTTGGCATCAGCCTACCTTGCCAGGAACATTTCTTTTCTTTTCCCCCTTTAGCTTCCTCTACTTTGAATGATAAAAATGCCTCACACTCAAGGCTGATCATTAGTGAACAGTGTAGAAGCTGTCTAATATTTCAAAAGTGCAAGAAAGGCTTCCTAGTCCATATGTCAAGCTTCCAGGCATCTGTAATTTTTAAAAGCACCTCAGGTGACTTGGACACAAGTTATCAATCCATGAACCATGTTTTAGGAATCAATGACTACTGAGTAAATCTTACTTGGCTAAGTTTTAGAACTATTGAACACTTTTTTCTCCATGCACACACATGTTTATACCTCTACACACAAATATTTATGCTTGTATATGCAGAGACTATTCCTGGAGTAAATAAGAAATTGGTAATAAACATATGTTTGAAACCCAAGCTAAGCCCCTTACTGTGTGACCAAAGCCACGATCTCTCTGAATCATTTATAAAATAAAGAGAAGTAAGAAACTATAAATATATATAAAATATCAACATATGTTATTGATTCCCTAAAATAATGGCAGTGAAACAAGCATAATAGTGTCTTCAGTCAGAAAATGACATGATTAAAATAATACCATAGGAGAATTATTCCATTAGCTGTGTTTAACAATGAATAAAAGTAATTGAGAGAATGGAAACAGGAACCCTCATACACAGTAAGTGAGAGTATAAATAGGTACAACTTAAAAGTACACATTTTAAAAACACATCCCTTGGACCCAGTAATTCTACTTTATCCCACTAGTTAGAGAAGTGCACAAAGATTTTTGCATTACAATGTTCTCTAAAGCATTATTTGTAATCATAAAAATACAAACAACATAACCTGGCTGGTGTTCTCAGTGGTTAGAGCATCAGCCCATGCACTGAAGGGTCTTGGACTGGATTCCCGGTCATGGGCACGTACCTGGGTTGCAGGTTTGATCCCCGGGCTGATTGGGGTGCATGTGGGAGGCAACCAATCAATGTGTCTCTCTCACATCAATGTTTCTCCCCACCCCCATCTTTCCCTCCCTTCCACTCTCTCTAAAAAAAAAAAAAAAATCAATGAAAAAAATATCCTCAGGTGAGGATTAACAAAAATAAAATAAAATATCCATATGGAGCAAAGTAACAACTCTAAGATGATCAGTCAATTGCAATCATCAGTGATGGTTATGACGGGAACATTACTAAAATTTCCAAATGAGTTTAATTACCCAAAATTATTAATGCACTTTTTCATAGCATAGATTATATTTATGAAATGTTAGTTAACCTTGTATTTTAAATTACTTCATGTCATAGTAATTAAATATTATCAGGAATGTGCAACCAAAATTAACATGGGCAACATGAAACTTGCCCCAAGATAGTGTATACTCATTCAACATTTCCTATTTGGTGGCAAGCACCATGCTCTATATATCTATTCCAAGGATTCTATATTTTCAATGATCTAAAACAATAGTTATTGATGGTTAATGAGATACATAGGAAGAAATAATTTCCTCATGTCTTAAGTGGCCTCACAACTTCTAGGGCCCATGTACTAACAGTTCCCTAAAGTACTTTGGAAGAGTTAAGATGTCCCTTAAGAACTTCAGTACCTAGAAATGACAGGCACAAGAGAATATCCAGCTCCCCCAGGAATCCTCTTTATGAGGCTTACAAAAGGATCATTAAAGCAACTATTCTACTCTTTCTAGAAAAGGAAAATTAACTCATTGTGTCCTATAGGGATCTAGAGGCTTGCTAGAATTGTTACACCAATTTTTATAACCTAAAGGTATTATATCAACTTTTCTGACCCACTGTTCTTAGTACATTTAAGCTTGTGAAACCATTATGTCTCAACATTTTATTTGGAAAACATGGTCAAGCAATACAAGGGACCCAAGTAAGGAAAGGGAAAGGCAAGCCAAACAACTACAACATGTTACAACCTGACTTTTGCTATAACCTAGATTTGGAAGGTTGGAGTAAACAATTTTTAATTCAATGGTCTTCCAATTTTTTTGATCATGCATCCCTGATAATGATAATAATAATTTTATATATATATATATATTTTGTTGTTGTTGTTGTTGTTAATCCTCACCTGAGGATATTTTTCCATTGAGTTTTAGAGAGAGTGGAGGGAGGAAGTGAGACAGAGAGAGAGAAACATCTATGTAAGAGAGACACATCGATTGGCTGCCCCCCACATGGGCCCTGACAAGGGCCGGGGATCGAGCCTGCAACTGAGGTACATGTCCTTGACTGGAATCAAACCTGGGACCCTTCAGTCTGAGGGCTGATGTTCTATCCACTGAGCCAAACCAGCTAGGGATAAAATATTTTTAAGTTCACATCCTCAAATAAAGCATTTACCTACAGATATATGTCTGCACTAATATATTACACACATTATAAAGTACATGCAAAATTTTTACATTAAAAATATAAGATAAAATTACTTTTTTAGCATTAAATTTTTATCTATTGCTACAAAACCCTTTTTGTTGTTATTAAACTTATTTTAACAATGTATTTTTAGGGAAAGCAATGTTAACTGAATTTTTAGAAAGAATATTAGTTTAGCACTTTTGCCGTATACCAAGAAGTATGTATTATTCCCACTTTAGAGATGATAAAACTGAACTTTGAGATTATATAATCTGACAAGTGTCAGAGCTATAATGTGGCAGAATTAAGATGCAAACTCCATCTTTCCAACTCTAAGACCAGTATTCTTAACCAATATATTATGAAAAAGGAAGCAATCAGAGAAAACAAATTCATATTAAAGTGAGACACATAGAAAGAAACAGTTTCCTCATATCCTAAATGGCCTTACCACCTCCAGGGTCCATGTACTAAACAGTGTCCTAAAGTGATTTGAAAGAGAAAGAATAAACCCCTTTGATCAATCTGAATATTATTTGCTTATCTGGCTCTTATTAATATAATCAGTTGCAGTCCCTGTATGACTGTGAGTAAATCACTTAACTTATTTGAAATCTTAGTTTCCAAATATGTAAATTGAGGGATTTCGACTAGGTGATCTTTAAAGTACCTTCAGTATTAAAATTCTAGTACTCTGGGCAGAGCACAGAGGATTTTTAGGCAGTGAAACAACTCTCTATGATACAATAATGGTGGGTAAATGTCATTATAGATTTGTCCACATCCATAGAATGTACAATGCCGAGAGTGAATCCTAATGTAAACTATGGATTTTGAATGATAATAATGTTTCCAGGTAGGTTTATCAACTGTATCACTCAGGTAGGAGATGTTGACAATGGGGGAAGCTATGAATGTGTGGGAGCAGGGGGTATATATGGGAAATTCTGTATCTTCTGCTCAATAATGCTCTGAACCTAAAACAGCTGTAAAAAAATACAATTTATTTAAAAATTCCAGGACTTAAATACAAGAGCAAATGAGGCATACATCTGTTAAGCAGAGAAACCACACCTTTGCTGATCTCCACATTAGGCAGGCTGAAGACCTCAAGGTCCATCATCCCTCCTTTAGTCCCTTCTGAGAGGTCTAAGAGGACAAGTCTGTCTGCAATGCCCTGTACAGTACAATAAAAAAAGAACAGCATTACATGGGGCATGTCCGGTTACTCAGTTTAAATTCATCCAGAAGTGAGGGCTAAGGGAAAATGCAGAGGCGTCATATGTTGTCTTAGGAATCAAAAGTAACACAATAATAATGAAAGGGACATGCAAGCAAGAAATTATTATGAATACTGTGATCCTTTAGGCTTGACTGGAAACCAAGGTGATGACATATGCTGGAAGCAAGATCTCAAATGCTCTCTCTAATCTTTAGAATATCCTTATATTTTTACATATTGTATCATTATCCTACATGTACTAATAAACTTATAGGGTAATTTATATAAATGAGATTGATAGATTAAAGGAGTTATTGTGTTTTTTATTGTCATTTATTACTATAAATGACAAAAGGAACATCCTAAAAGTCTAATTACCTTTGTGGAAGGTCTTTTTCCAAAACAGTAAGGGATTTAAGGCTCTCTCCTATCTTAGAGTGCAGGGGCAAGAGTCCCCAGGGATCTACCTGACTACTGGGAAGGAAGTGTGGAAGTTAAGAAAACAACCCAGCTGTACTACCTATTCGCTCTGTAATGCTGGGAAAGTCACTGAACTTGGCCTTACTTCATGTGGTGTGAGGATTAATTATGTTACACAGGGCTGGCAGAGAGCAGTCCCCTCTAAATTGTACCGATTAATTTTATTATTGTTAACCACTTGTAAGAAAAATGCAAAGAAAGCTGAGTTACCTTTTTTAATTTATCATACATGGTAAGATCCAAAAGATTAACAACTGTAAAACAGGTATTTTCATACAAGGTGGGTATGAGAATAAACTGGTATAGTTGACATGGGGGATAATTTGACAATTTCTATCAAAATTGAAAAACACAAAGCTCCTTTAATCCATCAATCTCATTTATATAAATTAGCCTATAAGTTTATTAGAACATGTAGGATAATGATACAATATGTAAAAGTATAAGGATATTCAAAAGACTAGAGAGAGCATTTGAGATCTTGCTTCTAGCATATGTCATCACCTTGGCTCAAATAAACTCATTTAAGAAAAAAAAGTCTAGAAACAACTTAAGTGTCCATCAATAACAACAATAACAACAAAGCAGTTTCACATAGTGGTTTGGAGCAGAGCTTCTCAAGCTTTAAGAGATCACATTTAGCCGAAACCGGTTTGGCTCAGTGGATAGAGCGTCGGCCTGCGGACTGAAAGGTCCCAGGTTCGATTCCGGTCAAGGGCATGTACCTGGGTTGCGGGCATATCCCCGGTGGGAGATGTGCAGGAGGCAGCTGATCGATGTTTCTCTCTCATCGATGTTTCTAACTCTCTATCTCTCTCCCTTCCTCTCTGTAAAAAATCAATAAAATATATTTACAAAAAAAAAAAAAAAAAAAAAGAGAGAGATCACATTTAATAGATCAGGGAAGCACATGGGATTTTGTTAAAATGCAGATTTCTACCATAGGTCTGGAGTGGGGCCTGAGATTATGCATTTCTAATAAGATCTCAGGTGATGTCAATGCTGCTGGTCTAAAAGCCACATCTGAGTAGTAAGGTTTTAGAATATAGGTTCTATAAATAGACTGCCTCGCTTCAAATCCTCCCTCCATTTACTAACAGTGTGACTTTGGCAAGTTGGTAACCTTCCTATGCCCTGGTTTCTTCATTTGTAAAAATGGCAGTAATGATGGTATCTAAGCCATAGAATTGCTGTAAAAATGAGTCAAGTGTTTAAAATGAGTGAAGTGCTGGCACCTACTTAAGCATTCAGTAAAGGTTAGTTATTGCTGCTACCACCACTGCTACATACTACTGTCACTATTATGGCTACTATTGCACTATTTGAATATTGTTATCCTGTATCAAAATATTAATGTTCAAAAAGAAACATGGAAAAAAATTTCCATCTAGACAGCTCACAAAGAAATACTGACAGTGAGACTCTGCTAACAACTAAAGAAACATGACTTTAAGAGGCCTTCCTGTACTTAACAAAAACAAAGAAAACTGATAAAACTCAGTACTGTTAGGAATGGCAAAAATCTGGTTGATATGCACGTTTTTATTAGCAGCATAAATTTGTATTGCCTTTCTGAAGAGCAATCCTGCAATATGTAATAAGTGCCATAAAAACCATTCATGTTCTCTGACTCACTAATACGATTTTATACACACCTAAAAAAAATTCAGATGAGAAAATAAGCAACTTGTAAAGCAATATTTACAGAAGCATTCTATTCAGTAACAAAAGAAGTGAAAAAAAATCCAATTCCAATTAAGAGGGAACACTATATTCTGACGGACGACGGAGGAAATAAAACTATAATGTGTCAAAAGTTAGCATATATTGTTCTGAGCAGCCAGCTTTAAAATTTTCTAGCTCCCTAGGTACAATGTAATCATTTGCTGAAGTAGACCCTACCTCCAAGACATATGTGATTCTTAAATGGAAGAAATTAGATGGCAAATAATCAAATTTTAATAGAATAGAAAACCAAATGCCAACTACCAAATAAGTATATGAAGGGACAGCTAGTCTATCCTGGGCTATATCCCTCAAATGACACAGACATGCTGTTACCATGATTCTGGGCCCTGGAGGGTCTTTTGAACCACTCTGGAAGGGGATTGAAATGCCTTTCTGAAAATAATTTATATGGAAACAATCTAGTAAAAGGACTGATAAAAATAAATCTCAAACTATCAACTCAGGAACTATGATCATAGAAGAAAGCAGAGTAATTACACAAAAAAGGCAACTGTAAAAGATATTCTAATTTCAGAAAAAGCTAAAATTAACTTATTAAATAAGAGTTTAATTAAAACAAAAGAATTTGTGATGAAGTCAGATGAATGTCAAATTGAGGTTTCCCTTGAATTAGGTTGATGACCCCATTATTCAAACCACTTTTTCAAAGCCTATTCCATGGCTAACTGCTAATTAAGAGGCAACATCCCTAATGAGTTTTTAGCCATTTTTTTGGTCAACTAAATATATTTTAAGGCAAAATGAGTTTATTCCACATGAAAAAATTAAACATAAACTACCTAAAAGCATATCAATATGATATATATTTATAACTACTACTAGAGGCCCGGTGCACAAAATTCGTGCACAGGTACAGTCCCTAGGCCTGGCCTGGGATCAGAGCCATCTTCCCAGGCTGCCTGCAGCTGGCCCTGCCCCCTGCCACCACCCACCCACAGTTCCCCATTCGCCATCAGGTGATTGGAGCCTGACGGCTGGGGGAAGGGACCGAGGTCGGCCGTTCCCGCCTGCTCGCCAGCCCCACCCCAGCCATGGGTTGCCCTCTCTGGTGGGGCGGGGGCCATGGCCTGGCACCACCCATGTCCCCCTCCACACACCCCCAGCTCCCCATTCACCATCGGGCGATGGGAGCCAGCTGGCCAGGAAAGGGACCGAGAGGTGGTCAGTGTGCCCCATAGTGACTGGTCAAGCAGTCGTTCTGGTCATTCCACCATTAGGGTCAATTTACATATTACCCTTTTATTATAAAAGATACTAACATACCTTTGCTGAAATTGCTAATGTGCAGGCAACTCCCAGTTCTCCACCTCCAACCACAGTAATTTTCTTTACTGTTTTATTCTCATGATTTGCCCAGTTCTTTGAATTTATGTCTGAGATACCTAGAAAGAAAAGTGAATGATCATGACAATTTAAAAATAATATCAAAAACCTTTTTAACATCTTTCAAAAAAATACACCAAGCTTCAATAACTTAGGACAGAAAGCATGGTGCTAGCCCATAACAGGCACTCAAAAATACCTGTCAAACAAATGGTATACTAGAAAGCTAGGAATCTCTTATTAAATATTCCACTAAATAAAGACAACCCTTTTAAAAAGAAAATATCTTTCCAAACATTTAAAAAATATTAAATAAGACTAAAAAACGGGATTTCCATAATTCTGGAAAATATTCTGATTCTCACTGCTGTGGTTTAAAATGCAAAAATATTTAACACCTCACAAAATTTTGCAAGTATGGGTATTTTACTTTATAATCAGTGAGAATCACAGATTTTCTGGTCCAATATATTGAAATGAGGCAAAAAGATGCATAAAGATATAATGGAAAAGTTTTGGGATCATTAATACAGGGGTCAGCAAACATAGGTTTATAGTTCTGAGTACGTGAAACACAGAGTTTTCCCTGTAATATTTATTTGTATTCTTTTTATTATTATTGTTATTATTATTATTACTTGTATCCATATTTATGATGTATCTTTTAGGTAATAATGGCTGGCAATTTAACCTACTTTTGCCCAGCCCTGTATATTCAAGTGGTTTTATACAAAATACAAACTATTTTATTTATCAGTATAAGGGTAATCTTTTATGTATTTTTTAAAACTCCTCACCCAAGGATATGTTTTTATTGATTCTGAGAGAGAGAGAGAGAGAAACATCAATAAAAACCATGACCATTCAGTTTACAGGACAACATGCCAACCAACTGAGCCACACTGGCCAGGGCTAATCTTTTACATTTTAAGAAAGCATATTCCTTAGAACTGTAGAGTTAGGTAATTGGAACTATGGTAGGTAATACTTACCCTATGATATATGTACAGGAATTTTTAATTCAATACAGACTTGTGTGTGTATATATGCATGTGTATATATGTACATATGCATGTATTTATTTGTTAAAATAAAGTAGCAGAGAGTAAAGGCTATCAGTGAGAAATTATAAACTTAAAACTCTCTGAATAATAAAATACAAACCTTCAGTGATTTTTGCAATATAGGCTAGCAAATCCACCTGCCGTGCCTCATCAGATGATGATAGAGAATACAGGGGAAGTTCCTCTTGAAACTTGGCAATCATTTCTTTAATTAATCCTACAACAACAGATTTAGGCTGCAGAATATACACAAAGGGAAGAGTTATGCAAAAATTTTGCTAACGAGTACTATCTTGTTAATCTACACATTGTTATAGTCAGCCAAAACAAACTATTGTATTATGTTCTCATTTTGGAACACTACCATAGAAATTATACCTTCAACTGTTTCATTACTTTTACCTTCAATTGTTTTAATACTTTTCACTGAAAAAGTACTTAATTCTTTTAACTGAAAAATGAAGGGAGAAATGCTAAATCCACATCTCCAAAATATAGGGTATAACATGAATGTGCTTATGAGCAGAGTATGTTTGGGAGCTGTCTGTCTTTGTTTAAATTTTTACTTTGAAACATTTGCAAATCAAGAAAAATTGCAAAAATAGTAAAAGAATTTCCATGTACTTTTCACCCAGATCACTAAAATTGTATCACATTTGCTTTCTTGGTCTCTTTCCCTCTTTTTATTTTTCTGAACCAATTAAGAGTAAACTGCTGATATGATACCTCTTCATCCCTAAATACTGAGGAATAAAGAGATAAAATGGAGTCAGTGTAGTCAAGCTGCTAAATCACTAAAATCAAGTAAGTTGAAGCATGAGGAAATGATTCTATTCTTGTTTTAATGAGCCTGGAAACCTAAACTTTTGAACTTTCCAGTCCTGTGTCAAAGCCTGGATATACATCAAAGCTCCAGGTAACTCTCTCATTACCCTCTAAAAGACTAAGGAAAGAATGGTTACGTATCCAGATAACATTTAAATGCTCAGTTAAAACAAAGCACATAACAGATTATCTGACTTAGTATACCAAAGGTCAAAAACAGGCAAAACTACAAATAAATATGTATATTACATAAGACTCTTCAATAGAGAGGGACTAGGAAATAATGCCCAATACTTGCTAGTAACTTTACATGTACTTTATCAAGCAGTAAACAACTATAAAAAGACTAGAGGCCCGGTGCACAAATTCATGCACTTGGGGGGTGGGGAGTTCCCTCAGCCTGGCCCGTACCCTCTTGCAGTCCAGGAGCCCTGGGGGATGTCCGATTGACGGCTTAGGCCCGCTCCCCGTGGGCCATCCTTAACGCCCCACAAGGCGGGAGAGGCTCCCCCCATGCTGCTGTGCTCACCATGCCCTGGCTCAGGGCTTCTGGCTGAGCGGCGCTCCCCATGTGGGAGTGCACTGACCACCAGGGGGCAGCTCCTGCGTTGAGTGTCTGCCCCCTGGTGGTCAGTGCATGTCATAGTGACCAGTTGTTCCACTGTTCGTTTGATTTGCATATTAGCCTTTTATTATAAAGGAGGATAGGGAGCAAACAACAGTTGGCTCTTAGACTCAAAGAGAGCAGCTTCAGGCAGGCTGCTGTCATCAGGGTTCTGGGACTCAGGTATCCCTGGGAGCTCAATTTCAAATTACTCTTAATGACCATATGAAAAATATCATTGAAAGAAAATTCAGTAACTTATTTGTTACTTTTATTCACTAAGATCAAAGATAAATACTCAAAAAAATAAGAATTATTCAAAGAAAATCCAAATTGATCTTACATGGCTCCAGTTTTGGAGGTAGGGCAAGTATATTCTGCCTTGAGCATCCACATGTTTTCCAACTGAGATTCCCATATTTGCAGTTGGCTTTAAGAAGCAAATGGGGGGAGCAAAAGGGTGAGAATCCAAAATCCACAAACGAATTGGTATGTTATATGTATTACCTATTTGAGACAAAATAAACATACTTCAAACAATAAGGCATGCACACTATGTATGGTATAGCTGGGTGGCATTTTAAGATGTGTAGTCAAGTTTATATGAAAAGAACTTATGTAAACTGAGGCCTATTTTTCTCATTTCATCTACATTAACATTGAAAATATATTCCCATTAAATTACCAGCATAATATTTGAGGAAATTTAATTAAGACACCCAACTCAATTCAATAAATATATAAAGGACCTACTATGCCAGGAGTTTGAGATACACAATCTTCTATATGTAATCTTCTTCACTCTACCCAAGCAGAGCTATAGTACCTATCTTGACTGGTAGTGGACACGTATTTTTATACTTCTGCACTGAAGTTAGTTGCTTACAGTTCTGTTTCTCACTTTACACTATAAACTTCTTTCTAAGAGAGGATTATGTATTATTCATTTCTATAACCCCTTCACTAAAGATAGTGCCTAACGTACTGGCTGCTCAATACAAGTCTCTTATATAATTAAGAATGACTGAATTAATAAATAAATGAAAAAATAAATGAATGAGTAAAGTTGAATCTGATACTGGCCCTCAAGTTGCTCACTAATTGCAGGTACTATAACATACCAGCTAGTTTTTGATACATAGAACTTAGAGCTGAAAATAACCTTAATAGTCACATTGTCCAGTGGTTCTTAAATTTTAGTGTACTGAGAAAGGAAGTTGCATATAAGTTCTTCCGATTGTAATCATGTATGTCATGCCTACCGAGAACCAAAATCTGACTGCCTTGGTTGTCAGGAAGCCCAAAGTGAAACCTAATGTAAGTTTATAAAAATAAAACTTCAACTAGAAATCTCATCAATTACCTTGGCTGTTTTATTTTATCTCCTGATATTTATTACTGCTCCCATAGCTTTATTGCATATGTCTTTCGCTGTACTTAAGAACATGGATGCTCAGAAGCAAGAATGCGTAGTTTTCACTCATTACTAGCTGCATGATTTTAGGCAACTTAACTTCTATGTCTTAATTCCTTCTTCTATAAAATGTGAATAAGAATAGCTCCTACATCATAGGGTTATTGTGAGGATAAAATTAGTTAATGTATGTAAAATGCTTAGAACAGTATATGATATGGTAAGTACCACGACGGGTTGGCAGGGTTTGCATTTTGAAAATTGAAAATAGGCCCATTATAAATAAAAATATTTTCTTTTCCACTGCAACCTTTTCTTACTAAGGAAATCCTCCTTCCACTGAAAGTTACTTTTTTCATCTTGCTTACTGCTCCCCTAAGCACAACGGTACTCAGAGGTGTCTGCAAATTAGAAACACTTAAGGAATTTCAAAACATACCAATATCCAGGCCACTCTCCTAAAGTTTCTGATTCAATGGAATGGGGACTGGATGTCATTTTTAAAAAGATTCCCATGTAATTCTGATGTCCAGCTAGGACTGAAAATTAGTACATTACAGAAATGTCCTAATACCTGGTCTACTATTTCATATTAGCAGTTCTCAGAACCATACTCCTCTTCTACTTTTGTCTAACTATTAAAGAAATGTTTTTTTGAGGTATGTCACCACAATAAGTCTAGTTAACATCTGTCACCATATATAGTGCCCAAGTATTTACAATACAGGTATAGAGAGAAGTAGCTATTGGTCTGTAGATAACTCTGCGATTATAAAGTCAAGTGATCATAGCATCACAAAGTAACCATTTATACTGGCCCATTTGATAATGAGAAAGATAATACATTCTGACCTTCTGATCAGCAAGAAGTAACTAGTGTGCATCACGTTGAGTTAATATAATTCTAGTCAAAAGCAAAGGGGGAAAAAGGTACTTCCAATGAAAAGGTATTGCAGGTACCACTACTACCTTGAAAGGCCCAGCCAGCATAAGAATCAATGACATAACTCCATGGCACTAGGAGAGTCAATGAGGGGCATCTTACCAATGGCAGTAAGATAACTGTTATGCCCGCCTGCTACCTCCCACATTGTCCTAGAAACTGAAATGCTACTAAACAATGATTCATTTAAATTCACAAGCTCCTCCATTAATATGCAAATACCTTGAAATTATTGGGATGGGTAAGAATTGTGAACTCAATCAACCAACCAATCCTTGGGGTGGATAGGAATTCCTTATCTCTCTTTCTAACATCTAACCATAAGAAATGCAGAACAGGTCTGAATATTATGGCACTAAACAAATTTAAGTTCTTATTGAACTGCTCATTTAGAAAATTCCCACAATTTCTCAACATCCACACTTACCCTGATACATCACAGGAACAGTACCAGTGAAATTCAGCAAGTCTTTCTGGGAACTATCTTTGAAAACTGAAAGGGGAAAAAAAAGCCTCAAAATGTGCAATCAGAAGTAGGAAGAGGAATCAAGTCGACTCAATGGCAGGTAACGTACATATGCACATACACATGTACAGAAAACATAATTTCTAAATACCATTGTCTAGGAATCAATAAAAATGTTGACAAAGGAAAATTACTACATTTTTTTTTTTCTTAGAAAGCAGAGCGGGTAGGTGAGTAAACACAGGACTTTGATACTGAAATCCCAAGTTCTAGGCCCACCTTCCCCACTTAAAGGCACGTGACTTTTGGTACTTTAATCTCTTTGACTTTCAGTTTGATCATCCATAAAATAAAGATAATAAGACTGCATCATAAAGTTGTTATAAGGGTCTAATGATATAATGTAAAAAGAAGTAAAGGATTATAAAACGTGAGGACACTATTAAATAATTGTCACATGTAACAAAGCAGTTCCAATCACTTTCAGAAATCAGGTTATAAGTTTTGGAATAAGAAAAAAAATGTTAGCTTTATTTTTTAAAGTGACCTTTTAGAAAGATCCATAATTATTTTCTTTGGTTTCTCTAATTACATTATTCTCAACCTTTATTCAATCTTCACATCCCTGAAATTTCATCAATGACTAGGACACACTGATGGAGAATGAATGCCCTAATCTCTGAACTAAATATAGAAAAGACTACCTTTGGCTTCAAACTATCATACTGCCTTGGAATGTAGTCCTTTTAGTACCTCGGTAACTATACTATACTTGTTTTTAAATGGAATGGAATAAATAGAAGAAAAAATGCCAAAGAGTCCACAGTATTTTAGCTATGTGTATATGGGTTCATGGCATGAAATGTATTTCCAAGTGTAGGCTGTGGTCAGAATTTTTGAAAGATAGTAAATCAAAATCTTTCTTAGGTAGCCAGACTCTCTGTATTAAGTGAACAAGATAACTAAAACTTCAACCATGTATGTGGTAAGCAGAATCATGACCTCCAAAGATATTTAATACCCTAATCCTGGGACCTCTAAATATGCTAATCTTACTTGGCAAATAGACGTTTTAGATGTAATTAAGGACCTGAGGTGGGAAATTATCCCGTGCTATTGGAATGGACGTAATCGAATCACACTGGTCCTTAAAAATAGAGGACCTTTCCTAGCTGTGGGTAGAGGGAGATCGGACTACAGAGGATGGTGAGAGAGATGCAACATTGCTAGCTTTGAAGATGGAGGAAGGAGACCTGGAGCCAAAGAATGAGGATGACTTTAAGAAACTGAAAAAGGCAAGGAAATGGATTCTCTCCCAGAGCCTCCAAAAGGAACTGAGAACTGCCAACACTTTGATTTTAGTCCACACTTTCCATCTACAGTGACCTGTGCTGGACTTCTGGCCTCCAGAATTGTAAGATAGTAAATATGTGTTGTTTTAAGTCATTAAATTTGTGCTAATTTGTATGGCAGCAATAGAAAATTAATACATTGTAAAATGTATTAATTTAAATTTCTTCAGAAATCACAGGTCACAAAGTGTAGTTCAAAATCAGGGGATAAAAGAGAGAAATTATAGTTTTGTAGCTCACTAGGAACAAATAATAGTTTACATAATGTAGCAAAAACTAGAGAATACAATTCTTACCATAGGTGTCCATGGAATATCTGAAATGTGGGAAAAACGTATTTACATTCTTTAGTTCTTCCACAGTTAGATCCCTGAACTTGTACTGAAAAGAGAAAAATGAGCATGGGATAAGAATAAATCTATAGATGACAGAACAATTACAATCAACATTTAACCGAACACTGACTGTGTACGAGGCTCTGAGTTTTACAAACATGAGTAGTAATAACAACCCTATAAAGATGAACATGAAAGCTAGAGAATACAAATAACCTGCTGAGTTAGTAAATTAAGTAGGGAAGCCAGAGATGAAACCTAGGACCCGGGCCTTGAATCACTAAATCAAACTGCCTCCAAATACCTCCTGAAGGCTTAAGAAGTAGGGCAGGTGTATCTATCACTCCTGTCACCACTGTTCAAGATCCAGTCTTATTCTTGAATAGCTCATTCATTCATTCACTTGACACACCTTGAATTTCCCTTCCAACCCTCCTGGTACTGCATCTTGGCTTTCAAAGGGAGAACAGAAAAAAAAAGCATGCATGGGTTTGCAGTCAGGCTGAGTGAACTGTCTCCTCATTCATACAGATGCACTCCCAGAAACGTGACCTTGGTGGCCCTGTGGGCAAAATCATCTAATTTTCTTTGAATTTTTCTTATTTGCAAAGAGAAATAATACCTACCTTGTAGACTTGTGCTGAGGATTAAATACAAGAAAAAGAAGTATGTTAAGAGTCTATTACCATTCTAAAAATGATTTTGAGGAATCATTTACAACAATCCAAATGTCTATCAATTGATGAATAAAATGTAATATAACCATAACACGGAATATTCAGGCATAAAAATAAAGAACTGCTACAGCCTGGCCGGCGGAACCAGGGGCTCACGGTTCCATTCCTGGCCAGAGCATACGCCAGGGGTGGTGGGCTTGATCCTCAGTGGGGGGCGTGCAGAAGGCAGCTGATCAATGATTCTCTCTCATCATTGATGTTTCTATCTCTCTCCCTCTCTGAAATCAATTTTAAAAAAATATTTAAAAAAAAAGAATTACAACTAGAAAACTGATGAGAAGAGGGGCTGCCTCAGACTATCCAATGGTTTGGAATCAGAGAGCCTGAACCGGAAACTGGCGCTGGCGGAGCCCCAGAAATGTAGGTCAGACTCGTGGGTCAGCCCTCCGGCCAACCTTCCAAGGCTAAGAGGACCTCCTCTGGGCCTTCCAGCCCCGTCTTCAAGCCTAAATCTACTCCCGTCCTTCCTCCGCCGCAGGGTTACTGAGCACCTCCGCCGCGGGGAGGCACAGGCGAGGCGGCGGCGTTCAGAAACACGAGTAAGGTGTGCAGGTACACAATGACCCCACGATGTGATGGATCATCGGTATTTCTGAAAGCAAGCAGAGCGAATGGATTGCCTCTGTCTCCCAGGCACTGGCATCTGAGCTGGACCTTACAGAGGCCGAGTGAACACTGCAAGTCAACAGAGTGGGTGGAACAAGCCATTTCAGCGGAGAGAAAAGGGAGCGGCTCCAGGGACAGGCAGGTGCCAGAAGCTACGTGAGACCGAGAGACGCTGGAGGCGTGAGGAGGTCTCACACCGCAGGAGGCTGGGGCCTCGGAGCTGCGGGTGCAGCCGGAGCCCAGCCCCGGGAGGGAGAGACCGGGTGCTTCCCCGAGGCCTCCCCCCGCAGCCGACCTCAGGCCAGCGCCCCCTCCGCTCCAAGCCCCGCAACAAGCGGGGGACAAGCCGCTGGGGGGCGGCCCGGCCGGGGGTGAAAACGCCCCGAGGCCCCAGCACCAGCCCGGAGGGCTGCCCGCACCTTGCCCAGCAGCCGTCTCAGACCCTCGCAGTCGAACTCCATCTCCAGGCGGTTTCCCGAGTCCGATTCCGCGACCCCAGCCCCTCGACCTCCTTTCGCGCCGGCTCCTGGACGGCGGCCGCCGAGGACCAAACTTCCCGGGAGGCGCAAGGCCCCGCCCCTTCCCCGGCTCGACAGTCAACCCGCCTCCAACGCCCCACACTCCGCGGCGGTTCCGAGGGAAGTAGCGTCCAGTTTGCGGGGAAGAAACTTGGGCACATCTATGAAGAGAGGACTAGCAAGGACCTGAGGAGAAGCAGTCAAGGAGGTGGAAGAGAGTTCCTAGAAAGAGGTGTTAAATTCAGTATCGAAAAAGATCAAGGACGAATATTGTAGTTGGATTTAGGAAGAAAGAGATCATGAAAGTTCAAAATCAGAATGTCAGAGCCCTAGAATAGGAAGCCAGCAGGAGCGTAGTGGAGAACTGGGAGATGGGGACAGCCCTGTGAGGAGGATGCCGCATCGGGGGAGGGGTTGCCTTTTTTTATCAAGGGAGAGTCCCCTAACCATATGGGTGGTAGAGAAAGGCAACAGCCAGGTGAGAAAGAAGAAAAAAGAAAAAAAAACACTTTGAAAATAGGAGAGGCGGTAGATTGGTGGATTAGGTCACCTGAAGAAGGAAGGCGAAGTTATGCAATATACTGGCTTTGTTTGGTGATCTTGACTTGTGAGCTACCTGCTTTGTGTTCTTGGCTGGAGCTGGAGCTGGAGCAGGAGCAGGAGATATTTTTTAACTGTTAAGAGGTTGGGCTGGCAGTAGGGTGATAGTATTAATTGGAAGACCTAGAGGCAAGAATGCTGTGACTCAATTAGGGGAAGAAGGTTGAAAGGCTGGAAGGAGCGTTTATGCATTCAACAGACTTTTGGTTAAGCATTGACTATTGGCTAGATATTTTTCTAGGTCTGATGATACAGAAGTGAACAAAATACACAAAAATATCAGCTTTCCTAAGGTTTTTATTTGTAGGAGGAGAGCAAAATAATAAATACAATAAATAAATGAGAGTGCAGGTTATAAAGTAATTTTGTGTTATGGTAATACAATTTTAAAAGGCAGCATAAGGAGATCAGGGTAAGTCCCCTTGAGGGCTGAAACAATAAGCATTTCATAGAGGATATTCAAAGCAAAGTCCTAAAACAGGCATGAGCCTGGGGAGGCTTGAAACAGCGAGGCCAGTATGGCTGGAGTAGAATGAAGTAAGAAGTGAGGAAGCAGAAGTAGGCTAACTCAGAGAAATAAGAGGGAGCTAAGGCAGTGATTCTACCCCGTGTGGTCCCCAGACTTACAGCCTCAGCATCACCCACAACTTGTTAAAAATACAAATTCTGAGACCCCACCTCAAACCTACAAACTCAGAACCTTAGGGGGGTGGGGTTGAGGAGTCTGTTTTAAGAAGCCTGGGTAATCCTAAAGCAAGAAAAAAATGTGAGAACCAGCGTGAGTGCTTTGCAAACAATTGTGACTGGCTTGTCAAATGCCCTTCAGCCAGAGACCAGCAGGCACACACTCACACTTAAACAAGAAGGGTTGATTACTCCATAATTATAGGATTTGGGTTTGGGGTGATTTGGGAGACAGTGTAAGAAAGCAAAGCTCCACTTTGGGTTGGGTGCTGTCCAAAAGGACAATTCTATGATTGGTTATCTAAAATATCTATAAAGTGGGCAACCTAGAGTGATGATAGAGCTGTGATAGGTTAAAAAAAAAAAGCAGCAATCACTTATATTTGCAGAGAGAAGAGGATGTTTGGTATTTTGTGGGTTATACAGTGACCTTATTTTTGCTTAGACAGAATTATGAAGTGGCCTTGTTTGTCTCATTTTGTCATGGTCCGAATGACCCATCTAATGTTGGTTTTCTGTGAGACAGGAGAATCACATAGCCTAGCTACGAGTGCCAAGTCAGTTAACGACACTGAGACAGAGCTGGGTCAGCCCAGTTCCAATGTCAAGGGCTGCTTTTCTATTTGTTAGGCTTTTACTCTGAAAGAGGAAGCCACCAGAGGGTTTTGAACAGAGGAATGACCTGACCTGACGGGTAGTGAGTATGAGTCGTGTGACCAATGATGTCACAATGCCCTACTAGACTCCAACTTCTCTACTAGGGAGTTCTGGATCCCTTGGAGCCAAGGACTGGAACTGACATGCGAGACCTCTACCAACTGAGGGTTTTTTGAGCACACTCCTTTGCCAAGATTTGGTGAAAAGTCTTTCACTCTGCAGTTGTGTCTTAGAAATTCTTTTATCATGATTGTGCTTGGCTGGATGCTTTTTGTTGGCCTTGCATGTTACATGGGCACGTTTCCGGAGTTTATGGTAAGTAACGATTCTGCCTGCAAATTCCTGGTAGTCAGTCCTGGCTCTCGCTAACCCTCCCAGCTGGGGTTTCTGACCAAATGGGAAAGATAGTTGAGATCTCACCACGAATTAGAAAGTCAGGATGTGATGGGAGCCAAGTTAGTTTCCCAGGCTACTTCCCATCCCATTGGGACATCTTTAAATCCCCCTTACTCTTAGGTATATAGCGTCACTTATTTCAAAGCATTATGGGCTTTATAAGGGCTCTGCCAAAGATAGTGCCCACCTTCTGGATTTCACTAAGTCCAGGCCAAGTGGCTGATCAGGAGAGGGAAGGTAGGCCTTGGAGGGGACTTTCAGCCGTCCTTCCAGTCCTATACAGAGACAGTTACCTACTGGACCAACAAGTGGAGCCATGTCTGCCTTTACATTTATTTCTGATTCAGACTCCAACTCTGAGGTGGAAAGAGAGGTGGCCTGTTCAGGAGAGCAAGGCCCGACGGAACAGCCAGGCTTTGGATGAAGATCTACAACTGTGAGTGGTGGTCATGTCTGTTGGGCTGAATTCCTCCCTTTCCAGAGGACTTGGTAACACCTTGAAATCTCAGTGGAGACTTTGTATTCCTCTGGAGAATATGATAAACCGTAGAAGGGGAAATGATTAGAGGTAGATAGCAGGGAAATAGAATTTGGGGAGCACTGCTGAAAAGCAGATCAAGGTTCAAAGATTTGTTAACAACTCTGGTCTGTTTTGAAAGGAAAGGTATTAGTTTTGAAAACTGTTCCCATCTATTAACTTACAAGCTCTATAATAAATTGGGCCAGCATTTTAATGCCCCTTTTGGCAAATACTGAATTGGAGTTAAGGTGAATTTGGGTTAAGTCCCAACTGTGCAACTTACTAGCTATGTGACTTGGGAAATTTTAATCTCTGTGAAGTGCAGTTTCTTCATCTGTGCAATGGAGATATCTCAGGATCTTATTAGTTGGATTATATTTGGGAATTCATGTAAAGCATTTAATGCAAAGCTTGATAATTAGCATTTAGTAAATGCTAACTTAAAAACTAAGCAAAATCATGAACCAGTCAACCAATCATGAACCAGATTAGCTTGTGGCAATGACCTCAGCTGTTTATCCAAGGCCACACAGGCCAACTTGTTTGCGAAGCTGGGATGTAAGCATAGATCTCTGGATTTAATAGCCCCTCACACTCATTCTGCTAGACCAGCCTACCTGTAGCAAATATTAAGAGTGTCCTTTTAGCAAATCAAATCATCCCCACCCATTTTATTCAGACCTGTTTTTTCAAAGATGTTACCACAGTTAAAGAAACTTACTTCTGAGTCTTAGTAATGTACCGACTACAGGAGCAGGTTTTCTAGGCAGCTACACTGAAGGCAGGGGTATCGAGTCTCACCCAGCCCCAGATACTCTAAGAGCAAGGCATGATGGTGGTGCTTTTCCCCCCACTCCCTCTGCCCCAGAATTCCTAGGAGTATATTGGCACAACACAATCACACCTCTGTGGGGGTGGGGATGAGAATGGAGGCCCTGGGCACTTGTTTAGCTGAGCTGTTGCCACACTGTGTTCCTGACCAAACTGCTGAAATTATCCTGTGCCTCAGTTTCTCCAGCTATAAATTGAGTGTAATAGCCCATGTTCCTTCTTTTCCCTTCTGAAGGAAATTGTAATGAGGTTTACCTTGCATGAAAGTTTAACTGTGCTAGTTCACAACATTCAAGATTTTTCACCCTGTCCAGGTAGTCCAGTTGGTTAGATTCCCCCATCAGGACATATACAAGAAGCAACCAATGAATGCATAAATAAATGGAACAACAAATTGATGTTTCTCTCTTTCCCTTCCTCTTTCTCTCTAAAAATCAATCGATAATTAAAAAATTTTTTTCTTTGAATAGTCCTAACAATCTTATCTAAAGTAATTGCTCATAACATATCTAGCCAATTAACCCTTCCAGTTAATCCAGGGTATTTTTTGTTTTGTGTTTTACATAAGAATTCTTCTTCTTTTTTTTTTTTTTTCATTTGACTGCATAAAGCTGAAAGTCAAAATATTGTTAGGTGATGAGTTAATAAAGATCGGATGCCAGCTAGATCCCAACTGCATAGAGTCAGCCACCACGGAACAGGGTCATCCTGATAAGGGTTCTTCAGCCCCAACACATCTGGCATCCTGGCCAACCATCCTATACTCACTCTGACTGGTCCCCAAGGTCACAGGAGCTGATGTCACAATTGGTATCTGAGCCCTGCCCCCCAAAATGACCATGGCAAGCCATTTCAGTTCAGACTAGACCACAAAGCTCCAGCCAGGAGCTATCATGCTGGGCCATCCACCATCAGGCCTTGAATGAAGACAGCCCAATTCCCAGGACTCAGGGAACACAACACACCTTTCAGAAACACCTATTTGCCCCTGCACACACCACCAACTGAGCCACAATGATTGTTGTCTTATGGATGCTTCTCATTGCAGGAACAATGTGGAAGGGATATAAGTATCCCCCAGGAGGGGTAAGTGTGCCCTCAACTTTGTTCTCTATTCCTACTTTGAAATGTGTTCCCCCAGATCAGCGGTTCTCAACCTGTGGGTCGCGACCCCTTTGGGGGTCGAGCGACCCTTTCACAGGGGTCGCCTAAGACCATCGGAAAACACATATATAATTACGTATTGTTTTTGTGATTAATCACTATGCTTTAATTATGTTCAATTTGTAACAATGAAATTGGGGGTCACCACAACATGAGGAACTGTATTAAAGGGTCGCGGCATTAGGAAGGTTGAGAACCACTGTCCCAAATAAATGAATTAAGCATCAAAATCCAACTCTAGTAACTTTAGAAACACCCTCGTCTTTATTTCAAAGAAGTTATGTAGCTTACCCACTTCTATTACTATTCACTTTCCACTTACAGTTGGGAGACTTCCCCTGTCTTTCATGTGATCTTTTACATACATTTTCCTAAGAGCCTCTATTCTTTTTCAGTCTCTTTCAAATAAACTGGCAGTGTAGAGGTCAAGATTTCTCGGGCCCACTGTCAAAGCTGCCTGACATGGAGACCTAGTCTTTTCTCATGGGACATTGTGTATGCCGTCTTCAAGGCCATTTCTTAGACAAGCCCACACGAACAACCCCACTTAACTCTCCCTCAAGTAAACACTGGTTTGTAATGGTTCTGGTGGCACATGTCTCTCTCCTCTCTCCTCCTGTTGGACCTTGGATATTTGGCCCTTCTCTGCCTCGTCAGCTCCAATACTGCTAAGCCCCTCTGGCAACTGAGATCCGAGGCATGTGGTGACAGAATTGGACGCAGCTACCCCTGTCCACTCTTGGCAAGGAGGGCAATGACCTCAGCCCACACGAAGCATGACCCACCCGACATACTTTTCTCCCTTCAGATCCCACTGGAAACAAGCAAAGATGATCCTGGTGAAGCAATGCAGCTCTGAAGCCCTCCTGACCCGCTGGCTGTACAGTTCCTGTTGTTGGTTTCACATAAAGTAATTGCACATTATTTTTGTCACATTTTATGTAAAAAGTTACCGTACTTTTGAAGATAAAGACTTGGTATTCTATTAGCTCAAAAACAGGGAGAGGGAGGCTGGGGAGGTAGTTGGGGGTGGATGGAAGTGGTTGATTACCTTCTGTTTCATAGTCCCTAAGACTGGTAGTAAGACTAAGATATCCAGTTCAGTTTCTCCTCTGTTCTGTATCCTTATTAAGGATAGAAATTCTCAAGAGCTCTTTAGACCTATTTCCCAAGTAATGCCTTTCTCCTGGGTCCCTGATTGAAATTATGTTCAAGGGCTAGAGATTGCAGCAACTTTAAGCCTATTCTTTGGGGGTATTTCTCTGTGGCCTTTCCACAACTATTATTAAGAACTCAAAGCTTCCACCTTGTGGGGGAAAGGTCCTCATTTTCATATTAGGTATAAGATACTCAATTTTACATTATTTTAATCCTTCCAGTAACTGAGTAGTAGCCTCATTTCACAAAATTGCAACAATGAAGTTGAGAGTCGTAAGTAACTTACCAACCCACGCAGCTGAGTTGCAGTGAAGGTTAAGATCCTGGCCTTTTCCTAGCATGCTTTTGTGCGTCAAGGAAAAGGGCCAAACAAGAGACTGGGGTATCTAAAGATCTTGACTGCCTCATGGTCCAAATGTCTTCTTCATCTGTATAGCCAAAGAAGTGGCCTGATGATTCTTTTTGCACTGACTGCTGCTTAAACAGGCAAGTGTAGAAACAAAAGCTAACTGCTTAGTCCTCATTATGATGCAGTTTATGAGACCAAGGACAGAAACTAAGTATGAGATCTATCCAGTTACGCTGGGTGTCTGAGCCTTAGGTTATTCTGAATGAGCCCTCTAGGGATTTGGAGCTTTCTGACCCTAAGGGGAGATGGGGAGGGAGGAACAGCTGTAACAGGAGTAAACATAGTACTTTTAAAATAAAATGTAGAAGTTGTTCCCATTCTGTGGCTGCTTGGATGACTGATATAGTTCCATTGTCAGGAGTGCACCCTTACCAGCATATCTTTTTGTTATGTACACATTTTGTTGATGCCTATTTGGTACAGATTTGCTCAACTATTTTGTAAGTGGCTCTATGCAGTGAATGGATTAGCCTTTTTTTTTTTTTTTGTGGAAGGAAATGTGAATTCAAAACCCATGAGCAAAACTTTGTAATTTCTCAACCTAGGATACTAGCATCTCTTGTACTTACGACTTAGTCTCAACACATTTCATGAAGTGACTGCATTCTTCGGCTGCATGGTTGTCCCTCATGTATGTATTCCTAAAGATTCATCTCAGGTCTTATTATAGGGGATCAGAGCTTGCTTTTCTTGATAAGTATATACCCAGTTCTATTTCCCTCCAGTTCAGAGGACACCTCCAAACAGTTCTCCTAACTTGGGTGCCTTCTGGAAGCTGGTGGGAGAGATGATAGGTCACTAGTAGGGTCTGAACAGATGTGAATGTATAAGGGAGAATGAACAGAGGCATGTGTATAAGGAGACAAACCCCATCTCTGAAGTCTGATGAGTCTACTGGGGTTTCTAGCTGGAAATATGTTCAGGGTGATGATATAGGAATATGAGTTTTGGTAAATAAGTGCAAACCAGGGAGATATCAATAAAATATTTTTAATGCCTACAATTTCTTTTATACATAAATTGCAAAACTTTCACCTGTATATGCAAAAGTAGATTCTCTTGCAGGTCAACAGCACCAGGTTAACAAGCTAAGCTATGTAAATGTTTCTAAACTTGTTTAGAAACAATGTTTATGTAAAAGAAATGATGGATTTAATAACTTCAAAGAAACCTATATATCCCATTCTTAATCATACACTAAAACCTGAATATTTATTTCATCACATTCACTCATAAAATAAATAGTCTAATATATTCTGCACATTGAAAATAAACCAACCATCTCTCTTCATATATTTATTCTCTTCCCAAACATGTTTTGGTCTCCTGCTATATCTCAGAAATGTACCAGTAGCTGCTTTTAAGTTACAAAATACAAAACAGTAATTTATTTCTTGGGAGAAAATCTTGGGGATTACATTAAAAAAAATGAAATTTTGAGTTCCCATAGACTTTCTTTTTTGTTAAGTCTTTGAACCTTTTCACGGCACACATGTAAGGCTGCCTGTGACATGTGGTACCCTGCCCTCCAAATGGACATAATTGCATTTATAGTATAGAGACAATACAAAGACAAATCCTGAAAGTAGCCTTAAAAGAAAGTGCCCTTGCTTTGACATAGCAACCATCAAAAGCAAGTGGGACTGTGCAATCAGAGGCATACGAGTTTTATGAAAACTACTTTCCTTTCACGTCATCTGTTAGAGAATACCACACCCATGATCATGTAACATTATTACAACCGTGAAATAACATTACTACATTCGTGCATTAACATTATCCAATAAAAGGCACATCTTCAAATATTGAATAAAATCTGAAAGTCAAAACGGAGGATACATTGAAAATCAAGCACTTAATTTGTAAACCTTGATAAAATAACAGCCCATTCCAGTTTCTTCAAAGGTTTGTGAACTTTGTGGTCAGGAATTACAGAATAAAATGGAAGACAGGATTTGGAAACAAGGCCAAGATTAATTTAAACGACTCAGAACTTCTCAAAAAAAATGAACCACAGAAGTGCCCTTTTCTAATGTTGATGTTGCAGATTACTAAAACTCAACATCCATATTGGAAACACTCAGAAGTGACAGACGCATAGGACACAACCTGACTTCTTACCAAGTTCTGGAACTTCTATCAAGCACAATGGTGCCTTTCTGTACACATGTCATTGAGTAAAGTGCCAGGAAACTTCAAGCCGCCAAGAATCTTTCCGCTGTGACAAGCACTTGATTGTAATTGCCAATTTCAAAGAGTCTGAATATTGAAAAAAAATTTATCCAAGAAAAATGAATTTGAAGGGGTGGAGGAAGTACATGGCAGCAAAGGAAATAATGTTCCAAACCTGTTTTATTACATGGAACATCACACTACCCTCAAACCAATTTCACTGGACTGAAGGTATTTGAGATCAGTGAGGCAGTTAATAGGATTTTCTGCCACCAGTGTAACAGTCTATGTGTAGCATTAGGAAGGGTGCTATTCCTAGTGATGAAGACACCTTTCATTGGACTCAACTTCAAAATTAAATCCTTGCACTTTCAAAGTGTGAAACTCAATTCAAAATGAGTCAGGGTTAAGGGACTGAGTCACATGGTCAACTCATTAAGGAAGGTTAAAAATGGTCATGTATAATACCCAAACTTGAAGAAGAAAGCTTTTTGAATAAAAAGTAATACCACAAAACAAGTTTTGGACCTACTGAATAGTAAGCATTCTTTGTAGGACAACCTTTACTACCATCCAACAGCCTAAAGTAGCCACACCCTTATTGTAGAAGTGTTCTGTAAGCTTTTGTCCCTCTGTCCCCAACCCTCCACATTTAGCATCAAGGACAAGTGCTCTCTATCATCAGCATATCTCATTTTCTGTCACTGACTTTCCTTGAGACTTAGCTTCTCTCCAGCTAAAACCTAAGTCAGACTGAGAATTGCTTGCATTTGAGGCTTAAGAGAGCGTAAGTCTATAGAGAGGACTTGAAGAAAGGTAAGGAAGTAAGTTCCACAGCCCAGGATACCACCAGTAGCAGGAAACATCCTTTTCAACCTGGGGAAACAATCTCTTCACAGTGCATAGTTTGAAATAAAAGTGCAATATGAGTAAAAAGAGGCGGTGGTGCGCTTGATACACATGAATTTAGTTTTTGGTTTTTGCCATTAATTGCTAAGGAATTTAAAGATAAAAATGCAAAGTCATTAACATCAAGAGATACAAGGGCACCTTGGATTCCAAAGTATCTTCATAATGGAGGAGTAAGGGTCGCCTCACGTGTCACTTGCTTATTTTTTAAGCTAATTACTCTTTCAACTCTAATCTTTGAATAAAATATTTTTTCTTCAATATAAAATGACTTTTTAGATAAAATTCAGCACAGTAACATTGTCTATTTTACAATAAATCTGAAAGGAAAACTTGGAAAAGAATATTCTTATACCAAATGGCATAGCTTGTTTTTTAAATTCAAATATTTTTGGTTAATTGCCTAATCACCTAAATCAGTGAATAAGAATGCTCAGCATCCAATCCATGAATATAGAATACAATATAATTTATTCTATTTTTTACTTCAAAGTCACAGAGATGACATCCATATAATTATAAAGCCTACTCTACATTTTCAAGTTCTCAATCCAAACATATAGATTAGAACAGGTCACTTTATTCCTGGCAACATTCATGGAAGGGCCAGATTTCTCATAAAAAGACAAAATAAGTTTGATTGGGAGCCAGCCATTGCCCTACTCACCCATCAACAGAATTATGGAAGTCAAGAAGCAATCTTTTTTCCTTTTTAAAATAGCAAAGGAACAAAAGAAGATTGGCTGACTGTTGAGTGGGCCCACATTAGAGTGCATAGCTCATCAGGATCAAGGCCGGGACCTGTGAGCAGTTAACTTCCTCAGAGCACTCACTGGGCATTATGTCATCTGCACTACAGATTTCACCCCAGAAAGTATTTGAAAATACTTTATGCTCAAAATATACAATATCCATTCCTTGTCCTTGAGGACCCAAGTATAAATCTAAAATGAGAATGGGCTTCTTCAGTCCGAAGGCAGGACTTCTTTGCAGTAGAGTGTCTCCAGAGTTTCACAAAAATAAATAAAAGCAGCAGCTAATGTCTTTTCAGCTTCTTGACCTTTCGGCATTTCATTGCTTCTTCTTCCCGTCTCATTTCCTCTAAGTCCTCTTGCATACCTAGCCTTAAACTGTCAAAAAAGGAAAAGAAAAAATGGTATTTGTCAATATATGTACATGAAATTGCTTTCCCTTCCTTTCCCTTCCCTTCCCTTCTTTTCTTTTCAGAAAAGGACTGTTTATTCCAATACTGCTGGTAGTATGGGAGAGCAGCAGGTCATCCACAAAAATCTGCTCTGCCGCCCCGCATAAGCCAGCTGCTTATATAGGGTAGGACAAAGATTCTTTCTTTAAAAAGCAAGAATGAAATTTCCACTGAGAGCTCAGATGGAATGTAGTGTGTACTCAAAATTACTACCAAGAGCCATGCTATTGCCTCAAATTATAGTGGAAAAAAGACCTCACAGCTTGCCTGCTGTGGCTCAGTGGTTTGAGCATTGACTTATGATCCAGGAAGTCATGGTTTGATTCCCAGTAGGGGGTGTGCAGGAGGCAGCCGATCAATGATTCTCTCTCATTGATGTTTCTATCTCTCCCCATCCCTAAAATCAATAAAAATATATTTTTTTTAAAAAGACCTCACCACCTCAAAATTTTATTTTCCTCTTAAAGTAATAAAGTAGAATTCTCAACAGATCTTAAAAATAAAAAAAAATACTTATATAAAAATAACAACATTCCATGCTTGTCCCTTACCAACACTTTAGCTTGATACCTAGTTACAGGACAAGGAAGGGCAAGAGGGAGAAAAAGGTTTAAGGTTTAATGTTCTGGGTTGAGACTGAAGTCAATTATTTCACCAAGTAAATGCTATAAACAAAGTACTAGTAATCATTGGTTACCTCTACCCAAGAAATTTTCATTACCAGGTAGCCAAACGGGAATCAGACAGAGGGAATTTAATATCCCTCATCAGGTCCCTGAGGCCAGCAGTGGTACAGGTTAGGCAAGACTGAGATGTGTCTGATGTCAAAGGGAATCAGGATGGGGAACAAAAAAACCAAGACCATGTTATGCTGGGATCAGAGGTGGCTTCAAACAGTTGTTATGTGCCTACATGGATGAGGCACTGCCCTAGGCAATGTGTCAACATTATCTTAATCCTCACAATACCCCAAGCAGTAAAAACAGTATATTCTCATTTTACAAACAAGAAAACAAGAATTAGAAAAGCTAAGGAATTTGTCTAAAGCCCCACAACAACAAGCAGGACTGGAATTCAGAATTGTGTGGCCCAATGGTACAACTGAAGCAGCAAACAGGAGTTTTTAGGACATGCCAACACAAATATAAGTTTTTTGCTTACCTCTTTGCTTCTTCCTTCTGCTGTTCTTTCCAACTACTCTCCATGTAACGTAAGGCATAATCACTTTCATCTTTGTATCTGAGGAGAGGGAATCAAAATTGTTTAAAAAAATAACAAAAATTCAATTTTCTAAAGGAACTAAATCGTGCTGTTTTTAAAATCAACATCTTTACAACTAAATCAAACACACTTAGGGTTCCTCCTCCTTGCTTGGCAGGGAATAGGAGAGCAAAGGATGGGTAGAGGTGGATTTCTGAAGTAAAGGCAAATTAAATGAGCCCTTATTACTCCCAGAGGCAACTATTCCTGAATCTAATGCTGATGAAGGTATCAATCCAATGCTTACTCAACTCACCTCTACTTACGTGATAGTTTATATTAAAATCCTGAAAGCACAATATATGTGAAA